GGGCGGCGGCGGCGGCGGCGGCGGCGGTGGCGGCGGCGGCGGCGGCGGCGGCGGCGGCGGCGGCGGCCGGCGAGGCATCCCCGCGCGGGCAGCACCAGAACTGGTCGGTGATTTAGGTAGTTTCCTGTTGTTGGGATCCACCTTTCTCTCGACAGCACGACACTGCCTTCATTACTTCAGTTGAAATCGTCTCCAGGTACCTCTGCGCGCGGGGGCCGGGCCGGGCGGGGCGTCAAGGCCCCGGTCCTGCCAGGCCTGCGGTGGCAACCTCGTCTTTCCCTGCGCGGGAGCCTCGCGTCTTCTTCCTTCGCGCTGTGCCAGCCGGCCGGCCCTCCCCTTCCCCCACACACCTCCACCTGGCCAGGAGCAGGTACGGTCAGGTTAGCTGTGCCTTGGCGGACTCCGGGGGCGTGGTAGGAATTCTGGGCCTTGGGCCATTCAAGGTCAGGGGCGCGCACGCTTCCATCCTGAGCCTCCCCCACTCTAGGCCTGCGCCCAGGGACCCCGCCATTCTCTTGCAAGGCTGGAAAACACACACACACACACACACACACACACACACACACACACACACACACACACCCCACCACAGCAATCTGGGGTGTGCCTCAGGAAAGGTTCCTTCACCAGTGGAGACCTAGACCGAATCAGGAGGGACTAGGCGGGCAGATGCTGGGATCCTGGCCTTGTCACTTACCCTTCTCTCTGTAAGGGCAGCCTCTGCTCCTAGGGGTCGTGACTGTCTCTTCCCCCCACCCCACCTTCTTTCCTCTTTTACACTTTCTTCTTTCCTTTGCTCCTTCCCTCTTTTCTTTTTGTCCTTTTATTTTCCTTTCATCTTTCATGTCTGTGTCATATTCTATCTCCACCGATTCCTTCCAAATCATCCTTCGGGAGGGGTCGCGTGCTGACTTCAGGAGAGACTGGGCCGGGGGTCACTTTTTTCTTCACGCTCAGGTAGCGTCAGGGAGTCCGCTGAGGAAGGGCCCGCGTGGGGCGGCTGTCGGGTGCGGGGTTTGGCCTGTTGTGTCCCCGCGCAGACAAGGCCTCGGTTACGATCACGACCGGATGGCGGCGGCCTTGCCTTCTTTCTCCGCGGGTCGCTCACGGCTGGCTGGGAGACCCGATTTGGGGGCAGCTGCGGCGTCTTTGTGTGTCCACGCCGCGGGCAAGGAGGCCTTCGCCACCCTCATGAGGGACCAGAACCGAGGCCCAAGCAGGCTGGGTGGAGACCAGCCACTCAGGGAGCTTCCCGGGAAGCTCCTAGCTGGCTCTTCTGGGCCTGCGGGTCCCAGCTCCGGCTCTGACTGCGATGAGGGAGCTTGCCTGCCAGTGGTTTCTATCGGGTTTCTATCAGGTTAAAAAAAAAAAAGTTAGATACTGCATCCTGTGGAACTGGGTACGGGACAAGGGGACCCTTCTAAGAGCCAGTATGTTTGAAATAGGTGAAAGGAATCCCAAATCCAGAGCCACTGATACAAACTCCTGTCCTTGTTCCAAGTTGTAGTCTACGGAAAAGAAACCGTTCCCCCCTACCCCCAACACACACATGCCTCTGCATGATGCCCACAGAGTTGTGTTTTCCTTCCCAGCTCGGCAGCAACTGTTTTCGTGGCTCAGCCCACCGACCCGCTGTCTGAGAGGCCGGCACACCCATCCTGCCAACTCCTCCCTGCCATTTTCCTGGCCAGGGAATTGGATTTGAGATCAAGGTTTTAGAATAACTCTCCATCAAGAAGGGGTGGTTTGTAATTACACTCATTATTTCTTTACGCACTTGTAATCCCTTTCACTTCCAAAATAGAAGCACACACGAAAGTCTGAATATTCTGGTCCCAAACCTCTGAACAAACCCACTTCTAGGCACCAGTAAATGTCTGCTGTCTGCTTGACACTCAACGCCTGCTAATTATTTAGTATTCGTTCCATTGGGGGGCTAAGTGTGTTTAAAGAAACGGCCTTTTAAAAAATCACTATGGATAATAGGTATCTTCTTTGGGTATAAAAAGTGGAAAAGGGCTTCCTCCAGGGCTAATGCTTTAAATGAAAATCTCAGAGATCCTGCAGGCTGCCGGATATTTAGGATACCTTGGATTGCGGTGTGGGGTGGCCATGACGCAGAGGAATTTACAGGGCAAGGAAATATTAGGGGGGAGGGGGCTGAGGCGGACAGGACGGCCACGTCGGAGTTCATTGTGTAGGCCACTTCCCTCTTCCCGGCACTGCCAGAGAAAGGGCACCCAGTCAGTGTCCTCACATCTTCCCAGCCTCGCCCTGTGGGGAAAAGCCTGGTGATGAGGGCGTCCCGCGTTTGGGGGGAGAGAGGTTTATGGAACTGATGAAGGCAAAAAGAGAGAGCAAGGGAGAGAGATGGAAGTGCCTGAGGCCGCCAGCCTGGCCGCCAGGGAAGTGGGCTAATGAGAAACACACTCTTGCAGGCACAGTATTCACACGTGAATTTGATTACCCCGTTTCTAGGAGTCACTGCTTTCTGTTAGGAATGGGGTGGCTTTTTTTTTTCCTTCCTCTTCTTCTCCTTCTCCTCCTCCTCCTCCTCCTCCTCCTTCTCCATCTCCTTCTCCTCCTCCTCCTCCTTCTTCTTCTTCCAATTAAGTGTGACTGCAGCCTTTTAATTTACCCCCTGCCCACAAGGGCTGAGGATTAAACACCCACGATTTGGCCAGGCCAAGGAATGGGATTAAAGTCAATGCCCCGTGCTCTCCCCGTTTTAATTTTTAGCCCTGGACTTGAGCCGCGGCCGCCTCACTTGGGGCCTTGCACCTCTCAGCGGAGTCGCCGGGTCTCGTAGGTAACCTAAGCAGGCCAGAATAGTGGCCGGAAAGGGAGGAAGGAAGGCGCCCTGGAAGATTCACAGGGCCCCGGGACAGGCCACATGGAGAGGGCTTCCCAGCCACTGGAGCCCCAGGGTCTCTCAGGCGGAGCTGCCTTTTTCCAAGCCGAACTCGACTTCCATTGATGCCACTTGGCATTTTTTCTCCCCTCGACTCAGGTTTGGGGAGCACGAGGAGGCTTGTAGGTGAGCGTTAGGGTCTTCGCGGATCCAGCAGAGCCAGGTCGCTGGCGCCACCGCCGCCGGGAATCGTGATTCCCAGTTGACAAGGAGCAAGACGCGGGGCGCGCGTGTGCGTGGGGCTCAGGGCCCGGGGCCGAGCGCGCCGCACAGCTAACCAGGCCCTCAAACCCCTCGTCTTGGAGTGGCTGGTCGCTCTCTCCCTGCCAGCCCCTCGCGAGGGCCGTCGTTACAGGAGCAAAGGCGATGTGTGGGGCTGCCCGTGCGCCCCGCACTCTAGGCGGGCAGGGTCGGGGGCCCACACCCGGCGGTGCCCTCTTGGTGGCTGGTCCTTGCCCGGTGTGCTCTGGCAGGGGCGGTGGTGGCTGTGTTTGGGACGGATACTGCGTTGAATTTGACTTTTCGCGGCTAGCCGGGGGTAAACTCGCCTCTCCCGGGGACCGCAGGGGTTATTTACAGGGAGCTCGCCAACCAAACACAACAGTCTAATTTAACCTTTCCAAGTCCTCGTAAATTTTTACAGCTGGGAGCCACGGCGAGGCAAACGAATCTGTTGGTCGTTCCCCGACTTCCCACCAGCCTGTGTGGCTTCTGAAACAATAACTCCTTATGAAATATCATAAATACAGATTTAAATACAGTAGAGCGAGAATGCGATTTGGCTGCCTTTTTATGGCTTCAATTATTGTCTAATTTTATGTGAGGGGCTCCGCTGGCCGCACTCGCACGCGGGACCCGCGCCTTCCTGATGGCGTGATTAATTGTGATATAAAATAGTCCCGCTTAAGAAGGGTGTATGGGGCGGGGGGCAGGGGATAGTCCAGCGGCAAAGCCAGATTTGATCTTTTAATCTTCGTTGGCCACAATTAAAACAAACCCGATCGCAGAGCGGCGCGATCCCTCTGCATAAAAACATATGGCTTTTGCTATAAAAATTATGACTGCAAAACACTGGGCCATTAATAGCGTGCGGAGTGATTTACGCGTTATTGTTCTGCCGGGCGGGCACGTGACGCGCGCGGCCAATGGGGGCGCGGGCGCCGGCAACTTATTAGGTGACTGTACTTCCCCCCCCTGGTGCCACCAAGTTGTTACATGAAATCTGCAGTTTCATAATTTCCGTGGGTCGGGCCGGGCCGGCCAGGCGTTCGGCACGGCAATGGCCACCACCGGGGCCCTGGGCAACTACTACGTGGAC